GGTACTTGTCTGACTGCATTGTGGCAAGTGTAATGTTTGGTGGAGGCGGGATTATGGTGTGGGGTTGTTTTTCAGGGGTTGGGCTTGGCCCCTTAGTTCCAGTGAAGGGAACTCTTAAGGCATCAGCATACCAAGACACTTTTGACAATTTCATACTCCCAACTTTGTGGGAACAGTTTGGGGATGGCCCCTTCCTGGTCCAACATGACCAGTGCACAAAGCAAGGTCCATAAAGACATGGATGAGCAAGTTTGGGGTGGAGAAACTTGACTGGCCTGCACAGAGCCCTGACCTCAACCTGATAGAACACCGATGGGATGAATTAGAGAGGAGACTGCAAACCAGGCCTTCTCATCAGTGCCTGACCTCACAAATGTGCTTCTGGAAGAATGGTCAAACATTCCCATAGACACCCTCCTAAACCTTGTGGACAGCCTTCCCAGAAGAGTTGAAGCTGTTATAGCTGTAAAGGGTGGGCCAACCCAATATATATACATACAGAGACAGCTGGCAACATCCTAAGGTATTACTGGCAAAGTCCATCTTGCTCTGTCTTTCAGCAATAAGCAATTTCATTTTGAGATCCTTTTGGCAGTAACTCAAGATATTAAAAACTAGAGCATCTCTCAGTGTTTCAATCAAGGTCTACCCAAGTGTCATTGTGACTGAACGCAGCTGCTGTTCAATTAAGCCCTCTGTCTCTGCAGAAGGGTATTCTGTAATATCCATCCAACAGTATTGAGCTGGAAAGGTCAAGTGTAACTTCTTAATAAATGTTTATTTTATATTTAAATTTTCTTATAAAAGTGATCCAAAATAATAATTTCCAATGTGAGAAAAACTGCCACATCCACATAATCCAAGAGGCCCAGTAATTGTGCATTATTCAAATCTAAAAGGGAACTCCAGATCAAACACATTTCAATAATAAATATGCATTATGGAAAGCAATCTACCTGCTGTAGGTGGTCCTACTTACTTATCGAAGTCTCAGAAATGTTGATTTTGCTGTAGAATTACAATACAGATATCTTTGCTCTTTGGGGGGACACTATTACAACAGGCAGTGTTACAGTGCCTTGAAAAAGTATTCATACCCCTTGAAATTGTCCACATTTTGTCATGTTACAACCAAAAACGTAAATGCATTTTAGTGGGATTTTATGTGATAGACCAACAGAAAGTGGCACATAATTGTGAAGTGGAAGGAAAACGATAAATGTTTTTCAAATTTTTTACAAATAAATATCTGAAAAGTGTGACGTGCATTTGTATTCAGCTCCCTTTACGGTGATATTCCTAGCTAAAATCTAGTGGAACAAATTGCCTTCAAAAGTCACCTAATTAGTAAATAGAGTCCACCTGTGTATAATTTAATCTCTATAAATACAGCTGTTCTGTGAAGCCCTCTCAGAGGTTTGTTAGAGAACATTAGTGAACAAACAGCATCATGAAGGCCAAGGAACACACTACACCGGTCAGGGATAAAGTTGGGGAGAAGTTGAAAGCAGGGTTAGGTTTTAAAATAAATATCCCAAGCTTTAAACATCGCACGGAGCACTGTTCAATTCATCATCTGAAAATTGAAAGAGTATGACACAACTGCAAACCTACGAAGATATGGCCATCCACCTAAACTGGCAGGTCGGGCGAGGAGAGCATTAATCAGAGAAGCAGCCAAGAGGCCCATGGTAACTCTGAAGGAGCTGCAGAAATCCACAGCTCAGGTGGGAGAATCTGTCCACAGGACAACTATTAGTCGTGCACTCCACAAATCTGGCCTTTATGGAAGAGTGGCAAGAAGAAAGCCATTGTTGAAAAAAAGCCATAAGAAGTCCCATTTGCAGTTTGCAAGAAGCCATGTGGGGGACACAGCAAACATGTGGAAGAAGGTGCTCTGGTCAGATGAGACCAAAATTGAACTTTTTGGCCTAAAAGCAAAATGCTATGTGTGGCGGAAAACTAACACTGCACATCACCCTGAAAACGCCATCCCCACCGTGATACATAGTGCTGGCAGCATCATGCTGTTAGGAAGCATTTCTTCAGCAGGGACAGGGAAGCTGGCCAGAGTTAATGAGAAGATGGATGGAGCCAAATACCGGGCAATCTTAGAAGAAAACCTGTTAGAGTCCGCAAAAGACTTGAGACTGGGGCAGAGGTTCACGTTCCAGCAGGACAACGACCCTAAACATACAGCCAGAGTTACAATGGAATGGTTTAGGTCAAAGCATATTCTAGTCAAAGTCCAGACCTAAATCTAATTGAGAATCTGTGGAAAGACTTGAAAATTGCTGTTCACAGATGCTCTCCATCCAATCTGACAGAGCTTGAGCAATTTTGCAAAGAAGAATGGGCAAAAATGTCCCTCTCTAGATGTGCAAAGCTGGTAGAGACATATCCAAAAAGACTTGCAGCTGTAATTGCATCGAAAGGTGGTTCTACAAAGTGTTGACTCAGGGGGGCTAAATACAAACGTATGCCACACTTTTCATTAAAAATGTTTAAAAACCATTTTATCATTTTCCTTCCACTTCACAATTAAGTGCAACTTTGTTTTGCTCACATAAAATCCCAATATATTACATTTACGTTTTTTGGTTGTAACATGGCAAACTGTGGAAAATGTCAAGGGGTATGAATACTTTTTCAAGGCACTGTACTACTCTTAATGCAGACTCCCTGCCTTCCTTTAGTTTAAGAAGTACCAGGTGGTAACAGGGTCTCATAAAAGACAATTCTGTTACCTCTGCACTGCCTTGTTGAACGATCAAGATGATAATTCTCTCCCACAACTCCTTTACATAAAAAACTTTTTTTTTTTGTGTTTTTAGGGTCATGGGCTCTTTAAGAAAAAGCTGCCTAAATGATAGTTTGTATATATTAAATGATATATTAAAACATACAATAAAAATGGCCAAGTAATCTTACTCACCAGCGTACTCTCCAGCCACTCCATGACATAAGATGCTGTAGCGTTGGGTATTTGGTTCCTCAGAGCTTCCCGGTCCTGTGGACTTTCCACCATTTCAAGGGATATTTTTAACTCCTCTACCAGATGCAAAATTGTTATAGTTCCAAAATATTCCACCGGCATCGGCGATCCCACTTCAAAGACTCCATTGGCAAACTCAGTGACTGCCTTTGTCCCTGTTGGCAATAAAGGAGAATATTAACATGCTGGTTTTTCTTTGTGTTTTTATAGTGAAACCATTGTGGTTTTGGGATAATTTTATTATAAAGCAGATTTACTGTAGACTCGGCCAACATTATATTTCCAGCATTGTAAGGCAAGTCATTTGTGAGTGATATAGCACTGACTGTACACTTTCTGCTGTTGCTCATTTACTTAGCACCAGGGGCGGACTGACAACTCATGGGGCCCCCGGGCAATAGGGGATCATGGGGCCCCTGTGTCCTTGCCCAAACTCAAAAAAGCCTATGAAAAAGGTACCAGGGGCATCTCATGGGGCCCTCTACTGACCCCGGGCCCTCGGGCAGTGCCCGAGTTTCCAAATGGTCAGTCCGCCCCTGCTTAGCACCATTGTTTTCACCCATTCGACAGTGCTATGTAGAATGCATAGTGGAGGGCATTATTTAAGGTAAATTCTTCATATTGTGCTAGTGAGCGATGCGATGCATACTAGCACATTATTACATTTCCTTGCAGAGGATTTTTTTATTTTTTTACCTGCGGTTTACTACCGCTTTAAAAACACCATACTGTATGCCAGTGGGGGAAGAAAAGGTTCATGCATATCGCGCTAACCTCAGCGCTTAAACATGACCCCTGAGCTGAGCGCTGAGGTTAGCGTGAACCTTTTTTTTCCCTCACTGGAATACAGTATGGTGTTTTAAAGCTGCTTTTCTATACAATAAAGTGGATATGTGCTTTAGTGCGGCCTTATGGACTTTTCTTTGATCTAAAGTCACCATACCAATGGAAGAAGAAAATATCACTGAGAAGTTTTTCCTAGTCCCAGTCCACTGATAACACCATCAGTGTAACCCAGAACTCAAAGGTAGGAGAAGGAGGGATATGCTATTATGAAGTCTATGTCCTGACTGGCTCCTGTGAGGCCAAAGGATGGAGGGTGCCTAGGCATTGTCACATGGGACAAAGTACTCTACTGCTTCTAATCAGGAATGAAATGGTAAAGGTACATTTCTAGATTGACTGCTTTATCACGTTAAACTGTGCTAATGAATCCTTATTAGAAAGCCAAACTTTAAGCCTGGTACATGTGGAATATTGCACAGGCAGCACAGTGGATTAGTGGTTAGCACGTCTGCCTTGCAGTAAATGGGTCATGGGATCAATTCCCGACCATGGCGCCTCCTGCATGGAGTTTGCATGTTCTCCCTGTGCTTGCGTGGGTTTCCTCCGAGTACTCCAGTTTCCTCCCACACTCCAAAGACATGCTGGTAGGTTAATTGGCTCCTGTCTGAACTGGTCCTAGTATGTGTATGAATGTGAGTTAGGGACCTTAGATTGTACACCCCTTGAGGGTTAGGGACTGATGTGAATGTACAATATATATGTAAAGCACTGTGTAAATTGACGGCGCTATATATGTACCTGAAATAAATATCAGCTGGCTGAACAGAATATGGCCATTCTGTTGAATGGGCATTCTGGAAAAACAGCTATCGATGGGAGTCTGATCAGCACTAGCAGCCAATGTCTCATTGACATTTAAAAAGTTGTCATTTCAAATGCACATGTATTACAAAACTAAATTATGTAACATATTATAAGTACCATTAAAACAAAAGGGAATTATACCTGCAATCACATATACAATCCACACATGAGAATAGCAAGCCCCTAGGTTAACCCAGTCACTTTGCAGGCTCAGACACAATGCGCAGTCTTAGAGTCCATCTTAGTGACTGGGTCTCTCTGGATCATATGAACAGGGGCCAGGCGCTGTGTAGTTCTGTGATAAAAGTAATACACCTTATATAGAGGCGTGCCTTTAATAATTCATATGGTAAAAAATAGATAACCAGCCTGTGGCTTTAAGAAGCCAGGTTCCAAGATGGACGGCCTGTCCGCTCAGAGGGAAGCAGTGGAGAGTGGAATGTTTCGTGTGCATGCGCTTTATCGTAGACTTGATAAAGGGCGTGCGCACAAAACATGTTGTCCCGGCAACCGGCCTCTTCCTTCTAAAGCTGCGGCTCCAGCGAGAGTTCCCCCCTTCGTCTCTCCACATCGTGGAGACGTCACCCGGGACGCTGGGACGTCAGATACACATGGTCCCTGCACTGACAGGCATTGCACGCTCCACTGCTTCCCTCTGAGCGGAGGGGCCATCCATCTTGGAACCTGGCTTCTTAAAGCCATAGGCTGGTTATCTATTTTTTACCATATGAATTATTAACCACTTCCAGACCGGACACTTTTACCCTCTTCCTAACCAGGGCAATTTTCAGCTTTCAGCGCTATCACGCTTTGAATGACAATTGCGCGGTCATGCAACACTGTACCCAAATGAATTTTTTACCATTTTTTGAGACAGATAAAGCTTTATTTTGGTGGTATTTATTCACCGCTGGGATTTTTATTTTTTTTGCTATGTAAATGAAAACGTCCAAAAATTTTGAAAAAAAAAGTGTTTTTTTTAATAACATTTTGCAAATAAATAATATGTCATCATAAATCTTTGCCAAAATTTATTCCGTTATCTTTTTAGTAAAAAAAAAATCCAAATTAGTTTATAACCAAAAATTATAATTTTTAAACATTTTTTTTTTTTACATTTTTATTTTTTTTTTTCTTATCTGAACATCTATCTATGTTTGCTACGATATTTTGAAGACACCTGCAGTCTAGCGTTCTTCCTGTAACATTTTGCGGTTGTACTTGTTACAATTAAAATTTTCCATATAAGCTCGACAATAATGCTGACATTTCTTTACTTAAGACATAATAATTTCATCTACTTAAAGCATCACTCTAACTCTTATCACAATGCAAGCATAATGAATACAGAAATGGTATACCTGAATCAATAGCCCTAGCGCATATTTCCCCACAATTTTTTTTATATTATTTTTTTTTTTTTTTTTTTTACATACTGTCACCCTAGCAGTACAGTGTCACCATGGTGACACTGTACTACTTGTGGGGGTGATGAAGATTTTTTTTTTTTTTACACATTGCTTTTACACCCATATAGGATGTAAAAGCAATCATTTCTCTTTCTCTCTGTCTGTATTCTTGCACTCATTGAGAAGTACTGAGTGAGCTGTGATTGGTCACAGCTTGTCACATGGTACAAGCCTGTTTTGAATAGGCTTGTACCATGTGACCTCTGTGATCATTCACTGATTTCACATGTAGTAAGCAATGATGTCACAAGTGACATCTTGCTTACTACTTTGCATGTGATCACTGATTGGCCAATCAGTGATCACATGATCGGGACCTCGTACAGAGGTCCCGTCTGACGATCGGTGTTTCACTGTGTCCGAAGGACACAGTGGGTACCGGATCGCGGTGTTGCGCGCTCCCAGGGAGAGCGCACAAGCAGGGTGCGGGGAAGCCGTTTATAAACGGCCACCCGACCCTGCACTGCCACCGTCCTGCCGTTTATATGCAACGGCTGGTCGGGAAGTGGTTAAAGGCACACCTCCATATAAGGTGTATGACTTTTATCACAAAACTACACAGCGCCTGGCTCCTGTTCATACTTTCCACAAACCAATGTTTTTTTACCATGGCAGCAGTGAGTTTTTTCCCCACTAATCACAGTTGACATATACCATTCACTTATTTCCTTTGGGACACATCTGTGCGCTTTTATCCAGACCGTCTCTCTGGATCAGCCATTCTCAACCTTGGTTCTATGGAACTCTAGGGTTCCTCCAAAAGGTTGCTAGGGGTTCCTTTAGCTGTGGCTGGTCGACTTCCCATTTGCCGATGCTTGCATAACCCAGTTACGCCAGTTGGCAGCGCCAGCTGCATGATGCTAATCTTTTTAGCTGTCTATAATAGTGGCATTACCACGGAGGGAGCGGGAGGTCCTCATGACCTCCAATAAATTGGTTTCTGCAGGGGTTCCCCAAGATCTTAACATTATTTAATGGGTTAAAAGGTTGAGAAAGTCTGCTCTGGATGCTCACTATCTTTGATGGCTTAAAGAAGTTACTGATTGGCCAATTTGCTTCACTACATTTCTGCCTAGATACTGACCAACTAAATAATGCTCCACCTAATGGGAAAGAGGAAGGAAGGTCTTATGGCAGAATTGCCCTGAAGAAGGATTCCCTGCAGTCCTTTATCACAGATTATTTTTTTTTAAAGGAATTGAAGATTTTCATATTTCACCACTTGGTGTCCCCAGAACACAGATTGAATAGCAAAAGTCTGGAAATAACATACAGAATAAGTGGTAGAGCAAGCAACATTACGTAGAAAGCATATAACTACACAACACGACCCTACTAATGAATGTTCACAGCAAGGGCCAGTCTACCGAAATGCTTGAGTTTTTCAAAGATGCTGCAGAGGTAAATCACCTTATCTTATGAAATCAGCAGTTTTGACTCTTGGTCAGATTTCTGCACTTCAGACTATACATTAGGCATTATAGGGGAACCCTACTTCTCTATAATGCATTTTTAAATTATGTTATATTATGAAAAATAAAAGTGGAGGACTGAAAACATCTCTGCTAGAGCAAAAGAATGAGATTGCAAAGTAGGTAGGAACAGACCCAGGAACTAAGACAGGAGAGCTCACGATGAGATCCCCAAGAGACCACTAAACTCTTCCTCAGGGCTGCTGTTAGTAATCACAGGGCCCTATATAGCCTACCTGACACCCCCCCACCCCCCAAAAAAAAAAATCAAAACAATATTTTTGCTAAAAATTTGCTAAAGTCATTATTGAACACAAAAACAATTACAAATTTCCTCCAAAATGTAAAGGATAAAAAGTGTATTGCAATAAAGCAGAATTTGTCTGTATCTGATCACCACAAACCAAAGACACTATTTAATCCATGGCTCCATGCTTTATTTTGCTGAAAATCACTTTAAAAACAGCCCCCCCCCCCCCCTGACAGACTCTAGATTTCTCACTTTTGAGACAGAAAAAGGGACTGAGGACACAGATCCACAATCCCTTCTCTGCAGCCTCAGCTGCACCTCAGAGTGAATGAACAGGAAACACTCTGCACAGAGGCTTACTGTTCATTTATAAACTGAAGCATAGTAAACAGTTTACTGTGCTTCAGGTTTAAATGGATATAGCAAGTGATCGGTACCAATCACTCATTCTGTTCATTCAGAAAAGGAAAGAGTCCGGTTAATTTGACATATTTATGCCCCCTCCTCCTGATTACCATGCTGACATGATTTCCCTATGTGCCTGCAGAGGGAGGGAGAGGTGGGGAAGCCTGCAACAATGTGAGGATGTTGGGCCCTGGCCCCATACACGAGGGCCCATGGTACCCTCTTATTGGCGTTCCTACTCTTATAACTGATAGTGCCAAGCTAGTGGTAAAGCCCAGATAGAATGTATTTTCACAGTATCCATTAATCATCCAATGTGCTTCAGGAGTTCTAGAAGACTCCTTCATGCGGGCCTTGCCATTTTTTCTAACTGTCCCTGTCCACATGGCAATTTTAGATGTTCCAGATCCTCCTTTCATATTTTTAAAAACAAATAAATTTAAAACCCAGTGAGAAGAGTGGAAACATCTCACAATGGGCACAATAGATGTGCAGACTCACAAATTCAAGTCCTGTGTTCTCACCAAAAGAGCCCTGATTTTATTTTTTTAGTTAAAACAGCAAAGCCTGCACTGCCTCCAGTGTGAGTCAAAATATAGAAACAAAGAAAGGAGCATCAGAAAAAAAGTTTTCCTTCATCAGAATTCATACACAAGTCTGAAAGTTCCCAGAGCCTCTTGGAGTATGTTGTTCTGTAGTTCAATGTGTGTCTAGACCAGCCTTTCTCAACCAGGGTTCTGCAGAACCCTAGGGATCCTCGAGAGGTTTCTATGGATTCCATTAACAATGAGCAACTTCTGTGTCTTAGATGAGTAACTGACTATATCAATGATCTTTTAGCTATTTGTAAGCATGAAATTCTTCCCGATGACTACAAATATAAGGAACATTTTTCCCAGTGATCATCATGCTAAAATACCATGAGCTGTAGATATACTAATCATTATCAGTGGTTCCCTAAAACTGGAAAGTTATTTCAATGGTTCCACCATGTTGAGAAAGGCTGGTCTAGCCAGTTGCTGATCTCCAACATATTGAATCCATGTAAATTTCATTAGTCCTGATTTCATCATCTATGACTATTTAAAGCCCTGAAGAAGGGGTCTTCTGGAACCTCTGAAACACTTTGAATGAGTTAGGGCTTGTTCACACGGGACTAAACTTCTAACTCTTACCGAACACACTCCAATAGCTTTAGTATAGGTTTTAGACAGGCGTTAATGAGGTTCAGTATAGGTGTTAGACAGGTGTTAATGAGGTTCAGTATAGGTGTTAGACAAGCGTTAGTGAGGTTCAGTATAGGTGTTAGACAGGCGTTAATGAGGTTCAGTATAGGTGTTAGACAGGCGTTAATGAGGTTCAGTATAGGTGTTAGACAGGCGTTAATGAGGTTCAGTATAGGTGTTAGACAGGCGTTAGTGAGGTTCAGTATAGGTGTTAGACAGGCGTTAATGAGGTTCAGTATAGGTGTTAGACAAGCGTTAATGAGGTTCAGTATAGGTGTTAGACAGGCGTTAATGAGGTTCAGTATAGGTGTTAGACAAGCGTTAATGAGGTTCAGTATAGGTGTTAGACAGGCGTTAATGAGGTTCAGTATAGGTGTTAGACAGGCGTTAATGAGGTTCAGTATAGGTGTTAGACAGGCGTTAATGAGGTTCAGTATAGGTGTTAGACAGGCGTTAATGAGGTTCAGTATAGGTGTTAGACAGGCGTTAATGAGGTTCAGTATAGGTGTTAGACAGGCGTTAGTATAGGTGTTAGACAGGCGTTAATGAGGTTCAGTATAGGTGTTAGACAGGCGTTAATGAGGTTCAGTATAGGTGTTAGACAGGCGTTAATGAGGTTCAGTATAGGTGTTAGACAGGCGTTAATGAGGTTCAGTATAGGTGTTAGACAGGCGTTAGTATAGGTGTTAGACAGGCGTTAATGAGGTTCAGTATAGGTGTTAGACAAGCGTTAATGAGGTTCAGTATAGGTGTTAGACAAGCGTTAATGAGGTTCAGTATAGGTGTTAGACAAGCGTTAATGAGGTTCAGTATAGGTGTTAGACAAGCGTTAATGAGGTTCAGTATAGGTGTTAGACAGGCGTTAATGAGGTTCAGTATAGGTGTTAGACAGGCGTTAATGAGGT